TCCACAGGTTATGCCTTTGTTATCACTTGAAAAATCGGTCCGCTCAGATGCAAACTAAGTCTGACTTTACAGAAACAGGGAAGAAAAAGCAGCCATGGCAATTTCTTTCCCCCACCACTAGGCATGCTGGCCATGTGCCACTATAGTCCCATAATTATCTGCACTCTGTACAGGTTGCCATGTGATCTGAAGCAGCTTGGGGGGGGGGGGGAGTTTCAAAACAACCCCGGAAATGCAGAACAAGTTGTGGGTTGCCAGGTGGCTTGAAACCGCACCTCACGGAGTTCAGACCTCATGGCAACCCATGCAAGGTTTCGGTGATTATGAAAGTGAGGACTCATACAATGTGCGGGGATTGGGCAACTATGGCAGCTGCTTCCCTTTCCCGATTGTGTGAATACCGCTTATCTCTCTATGCCTCAAGAGATTTCTGGAATGCTTTCCTACCTTCCACTGCCCCGTCATCTAAAGCAAACTGCCTCCCTGGGAGGAAAAGGATAAAACCGCTTGCTTGTTTGTTTAAACCTCACACTTATTACAAAGGCAGTTAAATTTTCCAGACTTTATTCACTAACGACTTTAGAGACAAGCCGTTGGAACAGGTTTAGTTAGCAATTTGAATGCACTCAATCAGGCAAGCCAACAGGGGGAGGGGAGGGGAGGGGAGGCTCAACCAGACCTGAAGGGTCACATCCAGACATCAGAGAAAGCCAGTCTTTGTTCAGTCACTCCCTCTTTGCTCTTCCAGGCAGCAGGAATGGCTGAAAAGGCCAAGGCCTTTGCATCCTCAGCTTGGTTACTGCAACATCCAAACTGGAGATTCTGGCTTTTCTCTCGCCTGACAAGCCAAAAGTGTAAGCCAAGAATAAACCCTGGTTTGCAAATGTGGCACAGTGTTACAACCGAAAGCTAAAAATAAACCATATAATTTAAAACCAAACAGAAATCAGACCAGACACCAGCACAGAGAAATACAAAATCAATAGAAAAACAGTGCAAAAACTCAGCGGGAGAAAGCAGCTTTAAGATCTAAATGCACTAAAAAGGAATTTAAAGTGGATGGGAAAAAAGAGATCTTTGCCCGGCACTAAATTTAAATTCCAATCATAAGGTGAATAAAAGGAACCAAGATTCCAGCTCCTTTCTTGCTATGTACAAAGAATTTCTGCGTTATTGAAGTGAGGCTGGTAAACAAGGACCATTCTGTCTTTCTAAATAGGATGCCACCAGTAGGACCACTACACCCACCCCCCAGAATATTTAGTCAAAACACAGCACTGCAACCCTCACTTTCGTTCAGGTAATTCAGGAAAAATAATGAAACTGCATTAAAAGCATGAACACCAGGCAAACGGAAGCAAAGACATTGAGGAAGGGGGTGTGTGTGTAGGGTGGGGGGGATTCTGATAGTATTACCAGGTCAATGTGCACATTTAATCTCTCAAATAATGCTGAGTTGTGCATACATGCATGAACGCATTCTCCACCGAAGCACATTCCGTATTTCTGGCTGTGAGCCGGGAAGGAGGCGCGCGCCCAGCTTTGTCCAGGTGGGCCGAATTCAGCATTTCAGGAAGTGAAGCGAGGGGAAAACACACACCAGCCCCTTTGTTGCGGAAAAGCCACTGGGGGCTCCCAGAATGACTGAAGAGTAAAGCTGAACCCAGCGGCGGAATGCAAATGAAGCCACCCTTCAGGAGGCAAGGGCCGGATAAAAGAAAAATTAGGCTAGGCGGTGCTTGGAAGGCTTTCTGTACTGCAGTTGGTCCAGAAAAGGGCACCCTGCCCCTGAACCCGTTCCTTCAAATCTGCAGGCACACGGCCCCTGCGTTCGTTCGGCGCCTCCTGCACACAGACCACGGGCTGCTCCTTCCCTCACACAGCCCCCCCCCCCCGCTTTGTAAAGCAAACAAACAAACCGGCAAACAAACAAAACCAGGCAAGCGGGGGGGGGGGGCCCCCCCCCACCGGGGCCCCCCGGGGGGGGGGGGGGAGCCAAATCCGACTGGATGATTCCAGTTCAGACTGGTTCCGGAGACACAAACAGGGAGCGCCTTGCCTTGCCTTGCCTTGCCTTGCCTTGCCTTGCCTTGCCTTGCCTTGCCTACACCGTTTGGTCACAGCAGCAGCTCCCCAAGGACAGAGCCGAGCGCCTCTTGCGGGGCAGCTGCGGGAGGCGACCGCCCCGGCCGGTCCTTGTCCATCACACCTGAAAGCAAGCGGGCAGAACGGCGACCCATGCAAGCCGATTTCATGCTGGGGTGTTTGGACGTTTTGGCTTTCAGTTGCTTTGCAGTAATTCTAACTATGTGCAAAAATGACAAAGGATCCTTTGCACTGAAAGACAGACAAATTTACTATGGCATAAGGCTTGTGGATCTTTCAGGTTCCACAAGATTTTTAGTTTTGCTGTAAGAGATAAACTTTTCATTGCTGGGACCTGTCCTCCTACAACATTTGCTATTAATGCAGTGAAGACAATAAAAAATAAAATAAAATAAAATAAAATCTTCCTGCTAATAAGCAGCTTTGGGAAAAAAATTAAGATGCCTTAAGCTCTTTTCTCACTCACACACCACTGAGGGCGACATTCCATATTGCTGAGCAGTAGGGGACAGCTTAAGACCAGGAATGCTGACTCCTCTGGAAGAGGCTGAGCAACTGAAAGATGACTGACTACGGCACAGAGACAGATAAGATGGGGCAGCTTTCTAACACACAACTCTGGAGAGGAGTCAACACAATATACAGCTTCATTGCTTTAGCAAGGACAACCCGACTCTGAAATTTGAGGCAAGAACAAAGCAATTTTACCACCCGGCTTCTGACCTGAGAACACTTTCTCCTGAGAGAAACATTTAAAAAGTGAGCAGGGCTCTCTTCTGCTCAAGAACTGCAGCTCTGTGTGATTGTTTCTGTGTGTGCGATCTGTGTTCAATTAAGAAAGAAACTAGGTATGTTCCTGAGGGAAATGCTTAAGGGGCTGCCTTGATGGATTATACTGCATGCAGCCAGGCGTCGGAGTGCAACAGGAGAAATATCGGGAAGATGGGCAACTGACTGGTGGGTTTTGGATTTTGTGCAAGCTGCCCGTGGTTTGGCAGAGTGGGAGGCTTTTCTTCATACAAGGTCGTTCCTCAAGGCCGCCTTTCGTCTCTCTTGCAAACACCTTGTGTCATGAGCCACACAGTCCATTACAATTCTCCAGCGGCCTCAACCAGAGCAAGAGTGCACGAAACTGCCTTTGTCAAGACTAAACTCTGAAGCGGCTTCTCCAACTGCCCCCACAAACAGGAAGCTGCTAACCCACTCACATTCGCCTAAATACCATTTTCAGCCAATGATTCATTCCTAGCTGGCACATTTTTAAGCGAGGGGTGGAGGGACTCAATTGTGGGGAAAGGCCAGTGCTATGCAGTGAAAATTAAGTTTGCCAGTATCTACTTTCACTCCAGGAGATGAGGCGGACAAGTAGAACACAGCAACCAAACAAAATCTCTTTTGCAAACCACATTTCAGAAAGTCTTAGTGTTTTTTCCTAGAAACTTCTGTAACAGTTCACTTTTATCTTTATGTTTCAAGATCCTCCCAAGCAATCAATAAAAAGTTTCCTGTACAGTCCACCTGCTGTATTAAAAGAGTTAATTTAACCACTTATTTAATTTAATTTAAATAAACCAGAGAAGAATTTATTTCTGAAGTGCTTCCTACAGAACTATATATAGTCCATTAATCATAGCAAGTATAAAAATACCTTAGAATTAATTCAAGTAAAATTCCATGCTTGATTTTCTTGATTTAAAAAAAACTGTTCTGGATTTAAAATGGAGACATTATGTTATTCCCTGAAAACAAGGCATTTTGCAAGTTGGGCTTCACCGTATCTGTCAGTTTCAGAAGACCAATATGGCAGAAAAGTCTCAAAGACACCCATTATAGGTTTTACCAAGTATGGCAGAGGAGTTCATTCAGATCTTGTCAAAAGGTTCAGATTTACCATTCCTATAGACAAGATCAAGCTTTAAGTAGAAGTAGGGAGTCTGGATTTTAATGAAATATTGAGATGGATGAGATTTTAATAGCTATCCCAAACAGGAGAAGACTGGAATTTAGGAGCCCTTTTTGTGAAGTCTCCTGATTGTAAATTCCAACGTTAATTTTCTTCAATTATTCACATGCATTTTTAAGACTTCTGGGGAAGTGCTAAAACACCATGAACGTATAAAGGCACCTGAAGGAAGGGCACTGCAAGCTGATACGCAGCACAAGCATCCTTGGTGCGAAAGCTCCTTTTGCCCACATGCCCCAGCCAGCCTCTGAAGCATCACTGGCCACAGACTCCTCATGAGGCCTCTTTCATAACCAGCCAACTGCTTACTGGTTACTTAAAACATAATGGAAATCAGCTATTTATTGCTGGTTAATTTGAGCTGTCTGACAGTTTTATACGACCCCCTTTGATATTAACAGTTAAATCCCATTATTTAAAAAAGTGGGTTTTCCCAGCAAAAGTACTCTTTCAGGAGTTTTAGTACTCTTTCCTATGCCTGAAAGTTGTGATTTCTCAACAGCGATCTGTGCAACTGGAACTACAATTTATACTAGCAGGCCTAGAGGTGGTTCTGACCAAAGTTTAAGAGTAGTTTGGATGATCCTTTAGTAAACAAAAGCTGCTGCAAGAAAATGTGGAGGGGTGACAAGTAATTAGCACTAAACCGAAATGGGGAAGGCCATTTAAAACCAAGTACATGGCCCGTGCCCAGGAGGGTGCCGTTCAAGATGGCTTGGCTTGAAAGGCCATAAAGAGAAAGGAAAACAGCTTGCCGGCTCTCGCAGGGCATCTGTGTTGCTGTCCCGGGGGCCATCCTTCTCAGGGGAAGTGGAAAGAGATGGGAGAGGAAGACACCGCGGAGTACGGGATTACGGGGCTTATCTTCAGCAACTCGCACTGGGCCCTAGGAAGGAAGGATGCCAGGAGTACCACAAGGGCATGCGCATACCTGTCGCTGCTGGTGCTGCTGCTGCTGCTGATGGAATCACTGCTTGAGGATCTGCTCCTGGAGCCACTGCCGCTCGGCGACCTGGTGGGCCTCGATGCTTGGCTCGCCAGCCTCTGCGGAGACTGGGTCCTGGACTGCGACGAATGCGGCGACCGGCTCCTGCTGTGCTGGTAATTCCGCTCTGGCCTTCTGCCTCGTACCTCCCGTGTGAGATCATCCCTGTAGATATCCCTGTGTACCACACTGGGCAATGTAAACTGCTCCCGGGCCCGAGGTTCGTAACGGGGGTCGTGAGCATCAAAGCGGCTCGGGCTGCGACTCCGAGAACTGTAATAAAGTCCATGCTGTAAAGTCCGCTCCCGAGGATCTCTGTAGTAATCCTGATCGTAATGTCTTGTCCGATCAAATCCTGTCCCCCGTTCATGGTGTCCATAGGCACTATGTTCATAAGCACGCTCCCTGTTATCTGAAGCCCTGCATTTAGGAGGGGGAAAACATGTGTTTCAATCAGAGAGGGGAGACCATCCCAGTATCAAGCACATACTGAATGAGGCATTCATATTTATTGCTTTGCGAGTAGTAACAACTCTAAATGACAACGACCTATTAAGCAAAACAAATGTGTGGCCCGTTCACGTGACTTCTCAGTTACACCAATACGGAAAACAGCTTAGCACGGATTACAGTTTCACCGATTAAAGTGGGCTTTCATGACCAGAGCTACACACAGAACCAATTATTCATTGCAACCTCAAATTCAGCAGTTTAAAAGCAACGTTTGGCATCGGCCATGAAAGCCACTGTGAAACAAAGGAGCCTGGAAATGGCAGGTTATTTTTTAAAGAAAGACACAGTTGTTATGCATTTTTGCTTCTAAAATACAATGCAAGAGCTCCTTCATTCCTCAGTATATTAATCCTAGTAATTACCAAGGTATGGGCAACTGTTAAGTGCCTTAGATAATGAGGAGACAGAAGCATGACCTCCACCCAGGGCTGAAGATATAGAAATCTATCAATTCACTGATTAGATGTATTGGGCATTTCATAAGCTTGGGGTCAAGGAAGTTTGACGCATTCACAATTTAACAACAAATGCAACAAGTTGCAGCAGTTTCTGTACAGAGGCATCACTTTGCTCTAGGGTGGGCCGTGTGCTCCAGAGTTACAGAGTACACCAGGGCAGTATTCTGTGGCCCAGAATACTTAAATATGATGGCTGAAAACTCAAAGGAAATCCCTTGGGAGGCTTTCAGTAGTTTAATATTCTAATTTACAAGGTGAACTGGATGACCTGTCTTCAGGGGCATTGCCAGGGGAAAAGGTGAAATAACTCAGAACAAATGCTTGCAGACTTAGTAATAAGAGCCAGTGCCCGGGTTAGTTAAAAGAGTAACAGTCCATTTTAGGAAGAAGGCATTTAAACCATCCCCTTTAAACTTTCAACACTCTTCCTTGAAACCCTTTAGCAATTACTTCGGTTTTCTGCATCAATGTAAGCATACTTGGTGCATACAAATACACATACACATACAAGTTACTCCTTTTCTGTTGGGTCTCAGGTTAGATCATCTACCAAAACTGATGAAAACTATTTCACTTTTTTTTTGGGGGGGGGGGGGGGGTGTTTCAGCCTTAAGAGTGGATTAGAATACTCCTTTATTATACATGTCTCTCTCTTCAAATGCATCTCAGGCACAGGGCAGTAAACCCTGAGATATAGATATTTGATGCATCTTAAGGCTTTTGCCCCCAGTTCCTACCTCTTGAACAATTCAGAGTTGTTTACCAAAAATGTGAAACAAAATCCCAATGCAGGCATTTAAAATGCATAACATACATTTCCTATTATTTGCAGCTGCATGCAATAAGATAGTGTGTATTTATTTAATTTCAAGCGCTCTCTCTTTTCCCTTTTGAAAGAACAAAATCAACAAGCACTCTGCACCCTATGAAATGTTAAATCAGTGAGAGCTGATATGATAAAGTAACAAAGGAACAATACTCCTAGAAGGGTTACTGCTATAGTAAAAGAGCTCCTTATCCATTAGAAGGACACAGAAGACAGACAAAAGAACTAGCAGAGCTGAAAATCTAACGACTACAGCAGTGCTGATTATCTATTAGTACTAATTACTACTGGAGTTAGTGGAAAAAGGGATTGACTTGGGTTAGGAGAGGGGCTAATATACACAGGGCAGGACATACCAACCTTTTCCAAGTGAGGAAACACGACCTATATTCCCAATTAAATCTAGGGAGAGAATTGTGAACATAACTTCCCCAATTTGGGCCCCTCTTATAGGGGTAATCCACCTTCTTAGTGGCCAAGGGTGTCAAAATGATATTCTAGATGAGCGAGCAAGAAAAAAAAAATCTTAGTGAGAAGAGGAGGAAAAATCCACTGGAAGCCAGATGTCCCAGAGTGGCAAAAGGAGGGCTCTGCGACCCACAGACTTCGTTCTTCAGACAGCCAAGCTCTTCTAAGTACATCCAACAGAGAGTGTCTGTAGCCCTAAGTCTGAATCAAGCAGCTGGTAGAAAACACACCAAGATATGAATGGTTGCCCCGCTGCTGGCTAGGAAGCATCCTCTGTCCATCTTTGTAACCATCCAGCCAAGTCAAGTCAGTTTCCTCTGATGTATCCACAAGCTGATTATAAACCCAGTGTCTTTTAGGCTAACGTGCCTGTTAACTGTTCAGTGGAAAACACACTTTGAGCAAGGCTAGATAGTAATCCACTCCCTGGGGCCACTGGGGTCTTGGCTGTGTACCATCCCACAAATTCAAGGTAGGAGCCATTATTCCAGCACCTTAACAGAAGGCCTGTAACTTCCAAGACTTAATCTCCTTCATTTCTGCCAATACCATGAGGAACAGTAATCCCAAGACATACGGAAGTGATGTAGATCCAAAGAGGGGAACATCAAAAGCTGCCTTCTGCAGTCTTCACCGTACCATATGTATTCCCAGGGCTAGAAGTTGTTTGTAGAATCCAAGACGATGCATCGTATGTTTGTTTTAAAAAGCCTACTAGAAAATTTTGGTAACAATCCAATTTTATACATACACTATATACATCAACAAAACCCTGAAAAGTCTAGGTATGAAGCTTTGCCAAGACTGTGCAAATCCTACATTCTGAAGATACTCCATAATAGATTCTGAGACTTGCGGTAGTAAAAGTAACTCCACCTGATAAGAAGGATACATCCGAGTAAGGCCTTATGTTATCCAAGAAACAGGACCATTAAGTTCTAGAAGAATAGCTCCATAATCGAGGCTGGGCACAGGAAGTCTTCCGTCTTACGACCAGGTATCCAACCAGCTGCAGGAAACATCCTCTACAGATCCACATGATTACCAGCGAGTGGGGTGGGAATCACTTCCGTTTCCAGACCAAAATAGGAAACGCAGATCATTCCCCAAATTTGGAATCCGTCTGGGGGCCCTACACAGAAGTTTGTGTTTCTCACCACATCAAATACACAATACCTGCCTACTGAAACCTTGGAACTTACCCATCAAGTCTCCGCTCATAGCGTCCTTCCCGTGCATGAAGTGATGGTGGTGGGCCATATGTGGGCCCACCACCACCTCCTCTGAACCCAGAAACCTCTCTACTACGAGATGCTATGGAAACTGTATCATCCAATCCCCGAGCAGCACTAGGAATGGTTCCTGGTTCATTATAATCCGTCCGAAGGTCTCTGTCCCCCATTTTGTTGGCAGAGTTGTGCGCCTTCTGGGCGCTCTTGATGTCCACAAAATCCACAAAGGCTGCCACGCCGCCTTCTGATCCCCTTTTGGGGAGAATTTTGACACTTTCAACACGTCCATATCTAGGAGAGAGAGAGAGAGAGAGAATATGTATTAAGGTTTATACAAACCAGCACATCAAGCTACATTTGGTGGGCTGCAATTTCTAGGCAAGCTGAAAGTGAAGCTGAAAAGCTAGGCATGCTTGCTTGCAATTTATTTCAGTGGGTCTCACACATAAGTAACTGCAGTTCAGATGCTGGCTCATTTCTACCAAGAAAGACATTCTACTTGGAGTGCTTAAGGCCCCTAAGCTGCTAGCATCCTTGCTCTCTTCCACCCCGTCACACCGTTTTTAAAAAAAATATTAATTAAAACAAAAATGGGGCTTTTCAAATTTGAATTCTCCTCCCTTTAAAATAATTGCAAATAATACAATATTATAATAATAGTATCATATATTATCAAAATGAAAAACTTATTTTATTACAAGGGAAGAAAGCATTCATATTGTAATCCTTCAAAGGAGTTTGGTTCATCTGATATTAAAATAGTGAAATGAGCAGAACATAGATTAATTAGATGTATGCATTTGCATCTTGCTCTCAGTTGTTCATATTTGTTAATTTTGTGAGGGTCTAGAAGAACACAAGATGTGAGGTGCAATGTTAGAACATAAAATAATGTCCTGCCTTGCAGGCTTACAATCTAAATAAGAGTGAATTACAATGGTTTAAGCTACGATTGAAAAGTATTTCTGAGAACAGTCAAATGAAATATGTCATATTCCCGAATATGAACAGCACGGTCTGGCACGACTCTGGGCACCCAAGCTTCCGGCCCTGATGGGCACAGCTTACTACCATGAAACAGGAAATTTGCAACCTGGTCTGCTTCTCTTATACATCCTCACTTACAGGACAGAAGCTGAGGATGGGCAAAATGTTTTGGTATTATTAAAACTGATTAATGAAAACAAACTCCCAATCAAGCTCTTCTGAGCTTCCAACTCATTTGAAAGTCATTTCTCTAAAAATGCAAAGCTCTATAAATGTGCCTTTTTTGAACCACAGAGATAAACAAAACAACAATAAAATAATTTGATCTGAACCAACTGGAGAGTCTGTTTGACAACTTTACGCATCTTTCATTATCCTTTATACACTTGCTACAGCTGGAGAAATGCTTCTGTTTCGACACACTTGATTCATGTTTCTGGAGCCTGCATTAGAATATTTAAGTTGGAGCAGTGAGCACATTTTTTAGTCCTATGAACAAGATCATGCTGCACATCAGATCATGATGCCAGTAAGGCCAAAGTTCAACAGGTTTGCGTTTACGCCTGCATGTTTTTCACAACACTGCCCTGCCTCCAGGTTTAACCACCAATGATATTCTGAGGCATGGATTTATGAAAACGGGCGCCTCAGACAGAACGGAATCCCTGCTGGCTGCGGCAAGGGCCACCGGGAGAAGCAAGGAACACCCACATTTAGTCAATATGAACCACAAGAAACAGACTCACCAGCTCACTGGGATTTTAGCATTATTCCTTTATTTGTTCGACTTCTTGACCCCCAACTTGGCTCAAGAGCCAAGAGTGGCAGGGCAGGCCACACGGTGCAAGGGGCAGAACGCATCTCTCTTCTGAATGTGCGTTAAGCACTTTAGGAAGCAGGCGGTCAGATGAGGCAGCAAGACTCCAGGGCGGTCTCTCCACCCAGACACCAATGTGGTCAGCAGAGCCGGGCTGAGGGCTCGGGCAGAGGGACGCACTCCGCACGCAGAAGGGCCCAGTCCCTGGTGTCTACTGGGACCAAAGGGACCTTCAGAGATCAGAGGCACTGGAGGGCCCGTCAGCCAAAGCCCACGGCATCGGCCAGGCTGGCCAAAAGGCCCAAACTGCTAGAAGGCAGCCTTCTAAGTAGAGCGATGGCCACGCCTGCTGAGGATGCTGGGCACTGCTGCCTGACACAACTGGAAAGCACCAGGTTGGGAAAGTCTGCGGTAGGGGAGGATAGGTGGGGGGAAGGAAGTCTCAGCAGCCAAGAATTCTCCAGGAACAGTTTTAGAGGCATGACAGAACTGGAGAGACTGTTTGCCAGGGTTCCACCACAGAGATCGCCCTATATTATTCAGCTCAACGCAGATGGTGCAATATTTGGTTGCTCACACCTAGAATCCCAAGGACATCCCCCAGTTTGAAAGGGTGCATCTCTCCTGCAACGAGCAACAGGGTGAGGAGGGTAGCTGCTTTCCCAAGATCGGACAGGGGAGGGGACACAAACCACACACACACACACACACACACACACACACAGAGCTCCACAAAAATCAGTAAGGCATTCAAAGCAGCTGTGCTAGCAGGAAGACTTCCATGGCCACTGCCCTAGCACTGTCTGAACCTTTTTAATTGTGTATACCCATTAGTCACCCACATAAAGATCAATCAGCCGAGTGATCCAGCTCAGCCCCACCCACTGGCCGCTCTCCAAACTGCTCCCGTGTTGGCAGTTGCCGCTGGGAGGGGAGCTGCATTGCTTCATGCCATCTGATCCAGGAGGGAGGAGGGAGCAAAGATCTGCAATGCTGCATCACGGGATCGGTCGCTGCCGCAGAACAATGCACAACAGGAGAAGGAGCCCTTTCTGAAGGGCTGCTGGAGGAGAGGCAGTGGAGAGACTGCCTTTTCCCGGGTGGCATGGGCAGGTTCCCCAGCGCGACATTCGCCGAGAGGCACAAAGAGACGGTGAGGCAGGGCAAGCTTTGTGCAGGCATGAGCAGGCTGAGGCGGGAAACAAAAGGACAGGAGCCATCATGACCTTGCTGAAGCCACGGCGGCAGCCCTTGTGAAATGCTCACTGCCTGTCTCTCGAGTCTGTACCAGTGAGCCCACGTCAGCCTTCCCAGAAAGACAGCCATTTCCCAATCACTCGCAAACAGAACAAAAAACCAACCGGGGGTGGCGGGGGGAGGAGATTCCTGAGTGCCAGCTTTAAAATGCCCCAACAAAACGCAAGGCACTTGATGTGTGTGTGCGTGCGCATGCCTTCCACTTGCGTTATTCATACAAATCAGCAGAGAACTTGCATGCCCTGATGAGCTGGTGGCAGGAGCAGCTTTGCTCCTGCAAGGACAGCCCTCGAGGACAGAGCACAGGAAGCCCTCTCTGCAGTGCTCTAGCTAAGTTCTGCAGCGAGAATGGCCAGTCTTTTTTAAAGGCTCCGACAAGCCCCCTTGGTAAGGACAGGAGACTAAAGCCGGACTCTGGTGCCCCACCACTAAATTGCTCAGCACCCTCACCAAGTCCCATCAAGCTATTTCGCCGTTTTTCGGGACGGCTCTGGATGTGAACATGACCGGCTTATTCACCGGACAAGGCCACTGCCGGCACTGGAGTCTCCAAGTGCAGCAGCGAGGCTTCTTCTGCCTCTCCTCTCACAGGCAATGGGCCCTGGGGCATATGCGCGTTTTCTGGCTCAATTAAGCGGACTTCTTCATCACCACACCACCCTTGGGCTGGCTGGCCGTCACCAGGAGACAGGACAAGCCATGGGCAAACAGGGGAAATGGGAAACCCCAGGAAGCTGTTGGGCAGAATCTATTACCATGTATAATAAGGACCAAAGCTAAACTTCCTCATATTAGCATCTTGTTAACTATCATCAATAAGGCAACTACAGATTATTACGATGCTGAGGGAATTGTGAAACACAAGGAAGCCGACGCTTACAGGGGGCACCGGGAAAGATACGACTGCTGCGCAAGGAGAGGAGAAAAGAAAAAGAGAAACCCTGTAGATGGGTTCTTCTAAGCAGGGCATTCCATAATGACAGTGGCAGGCTGGTGGGTATTTCAAAAGCTAGTATTTCCGAAATGAAACCGAGTTTTAACCACTCCACTAGTCCAATTCTGCATCTATAGTCAAGATCTCTCTCTCTCTCTCTCTCTCTCTCTCTCTCTCTCTCTCTCTCTCTCTCTCTCTCTCTCTCTCTCTCTCACACACACACACACACACACACACACACACACACACACTTTTCCTGCAGTCATTGCTGGTCAATTCAGTTCTCTTTAAAGCATGGCTGTGAGACAGCTTGTGGTGTGAAAAGCTGGTCTCTCTCCATCTATTAAAAAGCAGAACCGAACTGCTGCTGCAAATTTGCTGGCAACAGACTCCAATGGCCCAAGGCAGAAAATCGCTTAATTAAAAAGCTGATTAGGATAAGATCATATTCACAACTGGTGCAAAACATGGATGCACAAATGCTGGGGGGAGGGAAGGCCAGACCCTTCCATGCACTGTTCCACAAGAAGCTTTCTGTGCATTATTTCTGCGCAGATCTGCACAGCTGCCGGAGGGGAGGGTGTGGGGATGCGTGTATTCTGTAAGTACTTGCACACCACTGCAGATGAACAAGTCAGGGATGTTGTGGCTGCATCCAGTGAGTGGAAGAGAAGCTAGGCTGGATCAGATCAAAGTCCTCTCTAATCCAGCCCTCAGTTGCCATAGAGGCCAACAAAATGCCTCTTGGAGGACAGGAATGCCATGGCCAAGAAGTCCATTCTTCTGAAACTGGAAGTAGTTATGCAGCCAGTTGCTACTGATAGCCTTGCTCTTGTGAATCCTGCATTGTAGATCCTGTATTAAGTGGGTGGTACAACCAAATGCCCCCAAAGTCTCTTCGTCTCTTACGATTCTGTGAGCCCCATGAAACCAAAAATACTTTCCCTAGAAGCAAAAATGGCAAAACTGAGACTGTAATATTTTGAGAAGACAATGCTGCCCGGAGAAGACCATCTTGCTCGGGAAATTCAAAGGCAGAAGAAGAAAAGGAAGACCATACACGAGATGGACTGATTACGTAACGGAAGCCACAGCCTTGAGTTTACAAGAACGGAGCCGGGCTGTCACAGCCAGGACATTCTGAAGGGCTGTCATTCACAGGGCCACCGTAAGTCAGAAATGACTTGATGGCACATAACAAAAGATCACCAGCACTTTCCTCTGAACATAGTAGGCGCCTTACATGGCTAATGTCAAACAAGCAGTTCTTCATGGTTCCCAGATCTTTTAAGCTTA